GGCTCCGGTGGCCTAGTGGTTAGAGCGTCCGCCTCGGATGTGGGAGGTCTTGGGTTCGATCCCCGGTCGAGTCATACGAAAGACTTACAAAAATGGTACTAACAGCTACCTCGCTTGGCGCTCAGCATTAAAAGGTTAGTGTTAGGACAGGTCGCACTGGTGTCAGGATAATGTGACTGGGTGGGATATCATGCTACATGTCTGCGGCATGATGCCCCAGTGCTATGCATCACTATAAACTGCCACACTTCAGACATCGTAGCGATATGACTGACAAATTGTCAAATCTACATTAAAATCATAATAAAATCACGTCTTACATTTGTTACATTACCTAAATGTTAGTTGCAAAAAAAAAGAATCAACAGCATTGCATTTATTAAACTCCTTTTCCCATAGGTATATTTTATGATTACACTTTGATTATTATTAGACTATAGCAAAATACGGAACAAAATTAATATCTTACCTTCTTCGTGCGTTTTCGGTATTTATTGCAACTTCCGTCTAATTTGAATACGAATCAACAGTCAACAATAATTAAGTTTGAGATAATCCCTAAATGCCACCTTGTCTTCAGATAATGATACCACACTGATAGAATACTGTAATATTGTTATTAGCAAATGTAGATTAAATATTGCTCAGAATGAAGAATGCGACACGAATTTCTGCAACTTCGGGCTGGTAGTTTCACAAGTTGATCACTACTGAATGTAACGAAGTGACAATTTACATAGCAAAAAAAAACAAAAAACAATTCAGCTGATTTGTTGTCTTTCCCAATTGTCGTTAAATTTTTTATATTATTACCACATCTGGTAACACATAAAAACCTTTCGTCCATACTTGACATCTGTCCTTTAAAAAAGCTCAAAAGACAATAGCGAGAGTATCCCACCTGCTGCAAAATCCACCAAATCACCAGGTCTAACTTTAATATTTAATATAGCTCAAAACTGCTAAAGTGTTTGCCTGCTTTCATCTGTGCGCGTTTCTTCCTGCTGAATGGGGAACAATAATCGAGTCTAACTATACGTATCAGAAACGGTCGGTGTGCAGCTGGCAAGCACTCACCAGCGTTTGATTCGATCTGATGCCCGACAATAACGCAAACATTCAAGGTAGAGAATAACTATATTTCACTTAGTGTCTGACTCGCCAGGGTGATAGTCGTCTCGGTTGAATCGAATTATCTCTAAAAGAACATGTGTAATATTTGGTTAGCAATATTCAGAAATGAATGGAGAGTTAAGGTGGTCTCATTAATGATAAATCCATACAGTATGTCATATGATCTCAGTACTAAAGTAATTGTGTATAAATGTAATATGGTAGTGATAACAGCGCCCTGTAGCAACATTCAACTTTTTGGGACTCTTTTTTTAAGCTCCTAAATATGTGCTCTAAGTTGTTAAACAGAAGTAAATTTACGATATCTTTTGATGATATTTCACCACAAAAAATGATAGACTTCTTAAATGAATGTGGTTTATATAATAAATTCTGACCCAGTATGTTAAGGATTTTATGTTTTAAAGATTTATTTGAATAAATTTTTAATAACTATAAACCGTTACCCTTTGTCTTTGGTGTTATATTGCTTCTTGTTTACACTCATTTGACATGATTTATTTTGTTTGTTTAGTTATTTATTTTAAAGATGTTTGGTTTTTGAATAACATGATATCATTCGATATTTGCTGTAATAAAGACTAACGCTGTCTTAATTATCAGATTTGGTTTTCATCTTTTTGATGATATTGACACCGAGATTGTTCAAGAGGATATTTTTCTGAAGAAGCCTGGGGAAAGTTATAGCCAATACTATTGGCACCGAGATCGTTGAAATAAAGTACATTTATTTCTAAAGAATACTGTAGGAACCTTTTCAAAGATTCAACGGAACTATATTTTAAAAGATAACCTAGATCTGACCAGATGATAACATATATATCTCTCTAAAGGATAACATAGAAAACTTCCTAGATGATAACATGTAATATTTTTTCTAAAGGATACCATGGTAATCGTTGTACACCATATCTTAGAAACCTTTTCAACGGTGTTCTGGGAACTGTGCTACCGGATACGTGTACATTTTTCTAAAGGATACCGAATGAAAAGGATTAAAGTTTGCTAGATGTTTCTTTTGAATGATTCTGTCTGCCTTATCTAATGATGTTAATGTAAATATTCAAACAGAAGATGCTTATTCGGTGCTGAAACAAAAATTATGAGTGAATATTTGGCATATGCGATTACCACCATCTGTTTGTTTGCGTGGAATCGAGATTTTGTCTGATCATCTACCCTCAAGAATGATACATGTACGCTTCATCTAACTAATATTGTCTGCTTAAACCCTACATACGACATTATTGGCGCTGACTGTCGACTTAATCATACCTAAAGATATTACTGACTTTGAGATCAGTAAATAATGCCATATAACTGTTATAGCAGATTCGTGTGGTCTTGATATAGGCTGCTTGCCTCAATATAAATGTTCAGGGCACTATGTTTGATAACATTAGTTTTCTGATCAGAGACGATGGTTCAGTAGGTCTAATAATCAAACAATGTAGAATTTACTTAGACCGTTAAACGTACGAACAGTCTGTTGTCATAAGTTTACTCAAATAGATAATTTGATGATACACTAACATTAAGTGTGTGTGTGTGTGTGTGTGTGTGTGTGTGTCTTAAGACAAGCGTCATATGATGCGACAGGTGCATGGTATATCTATTTGAAAAGAGTTTTCCAATTATCTACACCTGCTTTGCTGTGATCTAGAACATAAATGGTGCAGGATGAATTTTAGAAGGGATTATTTTAAAGTACTGATAGTCAACCGATAATTAGCTTCTTTTAGAAACATGATCTTCTGGAAGCTCGTTGAATGCTACCAATAAGGCCCTTATGTAACTTTTGTAATTAAATTGTGAAAAAGATCATTGTATTTTACATTTCTGGATTTGGAAAGGTCAGTGCATGCATACGCATTCGGAAACAAAGACAAAAGGATTAGCTTGCGTTAGTTCTCCATAATCACATTCGGAGTTTTGAATATCCAAACCATATTGATCAGGGCTATTCTCACTCTAGCTACAATGTTGAAGCCAGTTTATGATACACAATTTGATTTTGTATATCGTAGTCAAATATTATAACTCGTTGCAAATTCGTTTCAGTTTGTGCAGCGCAAATGCAAACGCCAAATCAACTTGGAAAAATTCAAGTGTGTCTGCATTAAAAAAAAACAAAGATTCCCACCCACCAAAAGCCATCATATGGATGGAAAATGTTTTGCAGTGAAAACAGATTTTCTCAACACTTAGCTATCTTCTTTGTACTTGAGTATATTTGTATATCTATTTCAATTAAAATGACGATGTTTATTATTTGTTAAAAAATATGTGAATAACCAATCCTCACAAGAGCGCTATATTTATAATATATACGAGTCTGACATGGACCACTCAAGAGCCTTCCATCATTTATGCTGGTAGTATGTCATTTCCTTAATCTGCATGCAACCAGACAACCATTTACGTCTTTTTCAAAACGTAGGCTAATATCAAAGCTATACTGAACTTAATGAAACGTTTCTTCACAACAAATTCAGGCTTTTACGTGCACAAGAATGGGAACAAAGAGGCGAGGCAATTTTGGAAAGTTACCTGAGTTATAGAGTTTTATATCAATTATGTCTTTTCCTACATGTAACTTGACAATGCATGTAACTTTTCAATTTTAATTGGTTACAAGTATTAAGCATTTACCATATAGTATTGCCGTCCTTTGTACTGCGGAGTGTACTGTAAAATAGTGGAATTTAGCTCTGACAAGTCGCAGTTTACATACTTGTGTTATAGACAATAATTATGTTTTTATATGTATACGTGATTAACCATTGAATATATTTAATCTTATCCTTCTGCAATGAACATATTTGTGTTTTCATTTAGTTTTGGTTTTATGGATGTGTTTGTACAAGTTGGAATTGTAACCTAGATTAATTTTCTTTGTTATATCACTGTGATGTCTGCAGTGTGGCAAGATATATATATATATATATATATATATATATATATATATATATATATATATATATATATATATATATATATATATATATATATATATATATATATATATATATATATATATATATATATATATATATATATATATTGATGTCTGGCACTGGGGTATTATGCCACAGATATGTACCATTAAGTCCCACCCAGTCACATTATCGTGTCACCAGGTCGACCGATCCGAACACTAACCTCTTAATGGTGAAAGCCAAGCGAGGCAGTCGTAAGTACCATTTATAATAGTCGTTGGTATGAATCGATCTGGTTTTGAATCTCGCATCCAAGGCGAACGCAATTTGCTTCCACCAAGGACACGGCTTGGTAATCGATTTGGGCTGATCCAAAGGTGGTATTCGAACCCTCAAGTATGAGTCGCGAGACCAGCACACTAACCAGTAAACCACCGAGCCTCCTCACTCACAGATTAATCAAATGCTTCATCAAATGCCTACTTGAAAGCACGCATGCTTGATAAAATGAAATATATAATGTTGTATCACACATTCAACATTGCAAGCAACGCCTTATGATTCATAGAGAAATGCAGTGAAATACACAGTGAAAATCGAGATATCGTATTCCTGACCCGACGCTTTCAAATTAAAGAAAACTGTTAATCAAAACAAAGACAAGGTAATTGTAAAAATAGAGTGCTTATGTGCCTTAGCCAATGAATAAAACGTTGTGATAGGATGATAATATCGTATATTCTGTGGAATAATACGATTATGTATTTGTTTTGCAGAAATTCCTAGAAAAGATTCTTCAACTGAAACAAAACATTAAAATCTTAAGCCAAGCACAAGTTGAACCGAGTTTCGTAAATCAACCATCAAATGTAAGGCTTGATTGAACACTTGGAAGAACAAGAGGAAACGGTTTCTTGTTCGTTATTTCAGTTTCGTTTAAAGAACACATGCACACACTTAAACACTTTGTCATCATTCTGCAGACATGTAGCATCATGTCA